ATCATACAGTATCACATTTAGCAAGGGAGATGACACACTGATAAGTGGTACACGTGATCAACCTTGGGACCTTTGATTGGAAAGCTTCCATGTGATACCCAAAATTCCATGAAACCTCTGCTTCAAACTGTAGTGTTCCCTGTGGGGATACAAGAGTTGAATCTAGCATAGATTGAGTTTGGGGATTATTAACATGAAAAAACTTAGAGAAGGACCTCAGGACATTGAGGAAACAGAGATAGAGAGGTTCAGAACTTTGTCCAAGTTTCCTCAGCAGATGTCTATTGCCATGGTTTTGGACACAACAGTCTGGTTGTAAAATGGGCACATCTACCCCCGACTATACTCCATGACACTAGAAACTGTCCTTTTACCTGGGTGAACACTTAACTAGTCCCAGAGCTCCCTCATGCTGCAACTAAATATGAAGCATGGAAAATGCTTGGCGGAGGAAAACAAGATTTGGATGTTCTGAAGAAATTACATAATTCAATGTTGTTGGAAAAAAATTAATAGTAAGAAAATAAATATTTGCCTTGGGGTATTTTGTGCTGAACATGTGACAATGATATTTATAAGGGTGCTTTATTGCTTTAGGATTTTTAGATAAAGCAGCCAAATGTGATTTATTGAGGTATATATCTTAGAACGCAAATGACTGCTCTTCTGTCTTCAACTTCTTCACGCCTTAGTATTTTCACCCCAAAATACTTCCTCGTATGTTACTTATCTTCTAGAAGGATCGGGTATTTCAAAAGAAGCTAGCATGGACTTTTCACAGCAGGCAAGTGTTTTTTAATAGCTAAATGTCAGCCAACAACCCCTACTGATAAGGCTTCAAAACAAGTGGGGAGAAAGGAATTAGGAGCCAAATCACAAAAATAAGTGAAGGCTCCAGCTAATAAGAATTTCATACAACATAAGTTGATGAGTATGTACTTAAGTCACTGTGAAATACTACTAGATCTTGCTCTGTCCCGGAAATGTAGAAAATCGGTAGATACTGTTTTTCTCTTGTGATTTTCCAAGTTAAGCTATATGCAGTGGAATTTCACATCATTTTTTAATTCAACAGAAAAATCTAATATATTATTTTCTACATGTTAGATTTAAGCTCAGTCTTTGTATTTTCTGTTCTTGTTTACTTCCAAAGGGAGAAGTTCAGATTTAGGGGGAAAGTCTGTATTTTCATTTTGTGTAGCATTAGGAAGAAAAGAGCAACAAACTTGACATTCGTTGCAAAGGAAAGGAGCACCTTGACCATTCTCCTTGATATAATTTTTTATGAGAAGAAGTATAATGTCCCCCCTTGGCAATAATTCACACTATAGGTATGTATTTTGCAAAAGGTTAGAGAGGAGTGAGGCTTTATTTAAATTTCAAGTTTCTCAAGTCCTACACATTGCTGCATGTCTTTTTACTATGGGTAAACCGTGTGTGTGTGTGTGTGTGTGTGTGTGTGTGTGTGTGTGTGTGTGTCCCCATGCTATTCTCTAATGCCTACAGGCAGTAAATAACCCTCCAAGATGGACACAAGTTTTCTTATTTTTATCTTTTATTGAGCTTAAACTATAGTTTCCATTGCATTTCTAGATCAAGGGCAGACTTTGCCTTCTACTTTCAGTGCGGATATTGCTGGTTTACAGTCTGAAATTTAAAAAAAAGAAAGATTCCGTTGGTGCTAAAGCCATTCAAATATAAGCAGACAAGTAATGTACTTGAAGTTAGGATTTATCTGTTTTATAGGATAACTAGAAGAGAAACCATTTTTCTTTATATGGTTTGGCCTGAGGAGAAAAATGACACTTCCCTCATTCTTAGAAAAATCCTCATGCAAGATCTGGATCACTGATATGCTAACATATAACTTACCTCGAAAATCTGTTTTGCTTTGTCTTTCATTTTAAAATGTTTGAATTAATAGTGGTCATTCTTTTACCTCAGAAAGTAGTATGGGGAACCATTGTCTAATAAAACCCTCAGTGGTCACAGAAAAGTCCCGCAACTATGCTGTCCAACACACTGGTCACCAAGATGGTGCAGTTCTTTATCACTTAAAATGTGTCACCTGTTACTGAGACACACAAGTTTGCATTTTACTTACTGTTAATCCATTGATCATTTAAATATACACGTGGAACTACCAGATTAGATAGTACAGGTGTAGGGGGTAATTACCAGTTAAAAATTATCTGTGGTTTGCAATTTTCCATTACATTATCATCCTCTACATCTAAATTTTGACTTGGAAAGTGTTACAATTATTACTGTCTTAGATAAATAGAAGTTCCTCATTATTTTTTGAATCTCCATTCTCAATGCATGCTATCAAGATAGACAGTTCTGAAAATATATGCTGGAAATTGTTTTTTTTTTAACCCAAATTTTCCTTTGCTTTTCTAGTAAGTGAACTGTAAGCATTTTCTGCTTAGAGTTTTTTTTTTTTTTAAAGTTGACCTGTTTGGTACAATTCAAGCTCAATATAAGGAACCATAAGAAACACAAATGTACACTGTAGGTAGCAGAGAGCCCAAAGGTGACAGTTGTGAATTTTAAGTCAGCAATAGTACAGGCATTTACTGAAATAAAAAACTCATTCAATATGAAAAATTACTGCAGACTTCCAACTTTTTAAGGGTTACTGCATATACATTTTGTTATGCCATTGGCTTCCCTGCTTCTCAAACCTAAAAACCCCACCAGGATTTCAGCAGTACCAGCCCTAACTGCATTTGGAATTGATATGGGAATTTAAATACATGCCTATTATCTATCATAAGGAAATGAAGAACAAAATATCTACATACCTGCTGCCTTGTATTCGGGTACCACTTCAAAGGGGTATGCACCTTAAGAGAAAAAGACAGTAGAATGTATTTGATTTGAGTTTTATCCAACATATAAACTCACTAATGCAGTATGAAATATAGACTCACTAATGTAGTCCTGTCAATATTGATAGCCTGAATATGTGACTTCTACAAAAGAAAGAAGGTAAACATTAGTCAGTACTTTCTGTATGTCAGTACTGTGCTACATCTCTCATATATGCTTTTCATGTTTTCTCACAAGGTTTGAGTCTCGACACCCTTCCTTTTATATTTAAGGTCATGAAGAGCTTGGTTCGCTAAGTTGACTGAGGCACAAAAGTACTAAGTCCGCAGCTCCTGCTCTTCTCTTAAAGAGCAGGATGGCTGTAGGTGGTCCCAAGACTGATTAATTCAGGGGTACAATGAGGTGATCAAAAACCTAGGGACTTTCCATTTCTCCACTTCTCCTTCCTGGTCATAAGATGATGGACACAGATGTGAGCACCATCTGCAGACAAATAGATCCAGTAATGGAGCTACAGTTTTCCTAGCATGCATCTGCATAGTTTTAAATTAGAACGTAAATGTTTTTCCAGAATGTCTTTCTGTCCCAAAAGACTTGCCCATGTCCTCAGTGTCCAGCGTCTACCACAACCCATCCCTAAACCAGTCACTGGCAAGGGCAAAAAAGCTGTAGTAACTGATGCCATCGTTGGCATGGAAGAATGGACATTCACTACCTTGGGCAGGGGAGGAGGAGCAGCTCCCTGAGCTCAGGGAAGGCCAGATGCTAGGATTAATTCCTGCTCTGGCAACAAGGAAGAACTAGTGAAGAAGGCTGTTAGGCAGCTTGCTAATGATGTTGGCCCAATTTGCCAGAGCAGTTTGACCGCACTTTTACCGTAGCATAAATATAATTTGCCCTTCCCTTGTGATCATGTTCGATCACTTGGGTAAATTCTGGGTTCCTTTAGACTGGTGACTTGCTGTTTTCACCAGCACATGGTGAAATGTGATAATGCCTTGTCCTAGAGAGCACCTGATATATGTTTCCTCAATTGATTAAAATTGCCCCATGCCAATAGATTAAAAAAAGCCTTCTTACTTTTTTTATTGAATCTAAGTTCTTTAACATCAAGTTTTTGTTTGAATATTGACACCCTCCCAGTAAAGTTATGTTTATTCATTCCAGAATAAATGATTAAGGGGCCTTAATCATAAAGGTACTGGAATAAAGTTACTGTGGGTGCTGTGTAATATAAACCCTACAAAGACTGTTTACAATTTTGTGTGGGCGTAGGAGGAAAAAGGATTCAAATATAAATATGAGTGGGGAAAAAGCTTGTTTTGAGTCCATTTTATGCATCTGTTAACATTTTGAAGACTACACAGTAGAGTTTATCAACTTAAAGATTATGAAGTGAAAGAAATGACTTGTATATAACATCCCTGTGGTTCTCTATTTGAAGTTCCATTATTAAATTTTTTCTTAGGGAAACTAATTACTTCAGTCATTTTAAATTCAGTATATTATACATATCACATACTTTCATTTAAATATTTTTCTCTAGAATGAGATCAAAAGACCAAAGTTTGATTACTAATGTGGTGTGAAGCATAAAGCCAATGGGCCAAATCCTAATTCATTTTACAATATAAACATTATTTTAAAGCTTATCTTTTCCAATGCAAAGAATTTTCTTCTAAACTTTCCTTCGTTTGGTTCAGGATCAGTGACTGTACATGTTCATCATTTTTCACTTTATCAACTATTATAACTGATGTATAAACTTCCATTTTTTAAAAAAGTTTTGAGATAATAAAAAGTTTCTCTAAAAAGAGATACAGTCCTCATTTGCCTGCCAAATGGTCAAATTGTATGTGTAACAAACAATTCCTGCTTTAGTAAAGAATATTGATTTATAATATGCTCTCTAGAGTGACACGAAAATTTAACTTTAATCCAGGCATGGTGGTACATGCCTGTCATCCCAATACTATGGGAGGCTGAGGCAGGGGAATCGCAAGTTTGATCCCAACTTGGGCAACTTAGCGACTTAGCGAGACCCTGTCTCAAAATAAAAATAGCAAAGGGCTGGGGATGTAGCTCAGTGCGAAGGCCCTGGGTTCAATCCTCAGTACCACAAAAAAATTAAGTTTAATTCACCACAAAGACATGAATGATTTTTAAAACATTTTATTGTCTGCTATTGATACTTATTTTTAGATACAGAACTTGCTAAGTAAAATGATTGCAGGCACAAATCATTGTGTTCTTGTGTCATTCCTAAAAGCAACTGAAATATCTACTTCAGTTCTCTCATTTTCTGATTTTTAATCCTGAAAAAAATAGCAAAAGGAACAATTAAAATAATTTACAAACATTCTTAGTGAGTACTGTTTACATTAACCCATGTGGCTTCAGTCTTGTGAAAACAATGTACAACCACTGAGTTGAACTCTATAATTTCTGAGGTGTCTTTCTTCTGTCTTTGTCATTAGATATTAGGTCCTTAACTGCAGGATACTTAAAGTGTATTATTTAATAATAAAATAGCAATTTTTACCTTTCATTGAGTATTTCCTGCCTTCCGGGCTCTGAGCTCATCACTTTATTGTACTTTCCATAAGATAACTCAAAGAAACTATCAATAGTTATACTCTAATTTTAAACAAGAGGCAGTTAAGTTTTAAAGAGTTCAAATTATTTGTCTAAAGTCACCTTTGCAATAATGGCATTGGGAAGGTATGTGTACATTAGAAAGCCCATGGTATTCCTTATTAATAAAGAAGTAAACAATATATTTTCTATGGAAACAGAGAATATGTACCTTATGTTAGAATGATCAGTGATAGGCACCACATTATTTTATTCTAATTAGTTTTTAAAAAATTCTATCGCATCTTCTCTATAAATTGTTCACAATTGTAAAACCATATCTGATGCACATTATAATTTCTTATGAGGAAACTACAGCATCTATAGTTGGGCAAGTGTTTTCAAAATTAACTGAGTCAGTCACTTTCTTATTTTAAAGAAGTGAGAAAATCCATAAATTTGAAGCACTTTGTACAGTCTACTTCCTCTGGATTCCCATCTAGGTTATTTCCAAATCTCTCCTTTTTTATTTTCATTAGCAATATCATCAAGCATTCATAAACTTGAATCCCTCAATCTCAAATGCAGAGTTTGTAGTTATGGATAAGGACCATTTTTATGAACTATTCCCATTTATTTGGAAGAATTTTCTATAAAGAATGAAGATTCAATACTTAATTGTGATAACTTCTTGGCTAAAAGCTGAATCTAAAAAATTCTCAGCACTGAAAAAGAATCTAGTACTCTGTCTGCTTTAGTTCTCTTCAAGTTAAGCAACCAGTTTGAACAGCTAATCTTTTAAGTGTGTAAAGAGATTTCCTATTTGCCTTTTATAGTTTTTCAAGTATTTGTACCCTTTCACTCTCAAAAAGTACTCCTTTAATAAATCCTCCCTGCTCTTTTAGTTTACTCTAGCTAGTCAAACTTTGGCATATAAAATTGACATTGCCTTTCACATTACTTAAAGTTAATGGGCTTCTGTAATATATATTTTGATAAGAATTCATCAGTTGTCAAATTCGAACCCACATATATCAAAACTGGTTTTAATTACCAAACCAGGTAAATAAGTGCATTCATCACATAAAGTTATAGTACATGCATGGGCCTAGTAAAATGATGGGCCTGTTGTTAGGCAACTGTAGGCCCTGAGTTACTGGAGAACTTAGAACTGTGCATCCAATTCTGCTGTACCATTTCCCCAGGATTTGCCTTTCAGTGGCTTCAAGGTATACTCACCACTTCTTCCCGCTTGGTCTTGTCTGTTGCTGGCCAAGCTTCCAGAGGCAGATCAGGAATAAGGGGGGACAGGGGCTGCATGGAGAACATTGGAGGCAGAGCTTGCTGTGGGGGCAGGGGCTGCATGGGGTGCAGAGGTGACTGGGGCTGCATGGGCTGGATGGGCTGGATAGGCTGAATGGGCTGGTGGTGCGATGGCTGAACAGGTTGGGGCTGGAAAGGTTGCTGGAAGGGCTGCTGGGCAGTTGGTGGGAGGTTAGGCTGGTGGTGTTGGTTTGGAGTCATGGAGTGGTGGCCAGGAACTGGCATCAGTGGTTGCTGGGGGACCACGGGCTGCTGAGCTGGCCCCACTGGGATGTGGTGATGAGGCTGAAGGGTGGTGTGAGTCGGGGGATGCTGTTGAGACAGCACAGGGATGATTTGGTGGTGCAGCCATCCACCCATGGGTTCGTAACCATAGGAAGGATACTGGTGAGAAACAGAGAGTCAGGTTTACCATTGGCTCAGTTGACTTCCAACTGGAGAAGTAGCAGTGTTTTCTTTGTCATTATGAACTTATGAATATTCTAGTTATTTTTTCCTTTGCAGGAATTTCTAACTGTGTACACATCCATATATATATATATATATATATATATATATATATATATATATGACTTTTTACAAACTAAAATTCCCATTAGTGTCTGTATGGGGACTGGCTATGTATGATATTTCACTTAATAAGGGAATTTAAATGTTTGCCTAACATGTTCAGGAAATAAAACAAAATGTCTACATACCGGCTGCCTTATCATGCTCTGGTACCACTTCAAAGGGGTGAGCACCTTAAGAGAAAGAGAAATTAGAATGGATTTGATGTCACTGAGTTTCGCCCAATGTATAAACTCACTAATGCAGTATGAAATATAGACTCACTAATGCAGTCCTGTCAATATTGATAGCCTGAGAATGTGACTTCTACAAAAGAAAGAAGAAGGTAAATATTTGTTGTGTTCTCCCTAAGTGTCAGGCACTGTGTTACATGCATCACATACACTTTGCATGTTTTCTCGCATACACTAATGCAAGTATCATCACCCTCATTTTCATAGATAAGTCCATGAAGAGTTAAAGAGGCTCCATAACTTGACTGAGGTTGCGAAAGTAGTGATTCTGTTTAAATTTACAATCCCTGCTCTTCACTGCAAAAGCAAAACAAACAAGCAAAAATTATGATATATTAATCAAATTATCTTAATTATATCATAGTGGGGAATAAGGACATAGAAACACTGTCCCTCATCCTTAAGACAAAGTTTTCCTGATCACATATGTTAACCTTTTAAAATTTAGCAGAAAATGTTACTAACATTTTTTTTCTTTAATCTGTATGAATGAACATACTCATAAATCATTGCCTGAACTTGTAAAACAAGCAAGTTTCATTCTTTTCTGAACAGTATGTGTTTGGTTAACCTTTGGCCAAATTTCTTACATTAGTACAACATTCAAACACAAAAATTATCTACCTTGCTCAAGTTATAAGTGCAATAGCACTTTTCATATTCATTAACTATTTTACTCTACAAATAATCTTGTGATCATTATTTCCTCTCTTCAGAATTTCTGAATTTCCAGAGAAAATGATTTTCCCAGAGTTTTGTGGTTAATATAGTGTTGAGGAGAACCTCAAGCCCAATTTCCAAATATCTTATGCTTTCCCTCACTCCGGAGATTCTTCTGTAAGACTTAGTTACTGATCTTTCAGCAAAGCCAGCAAGAGACACACATGGAGTGTAACATCTTAGAATCACAAATCTTTGAGCTGGAAAAGGTCTTTAAAAGCATCTTCCCTAATCCTCACACTGCATGGACTGAGATAAAACAAGGCTATTGAGAGTTGACTTTCTACCCTACCATGGAGCCTCCCTGAGTGAAAGTTCATGATTCATACATCTATAGACATATTTAAGAGACTGATTCAGAGTGGCCAAGTAGGAGAACACTGGTACAGTGCAGGCTTGAGGCCATCTGTCAGCACTTTAAATGGGAATCTGGTGGTGGAACTGAAAATGTGGAACTGTTTGAGAAACATCTTGAATGAAGAATCAACACACTAGTCTTTCACAGGTTCAAACAATGATTAAAATTAGTAAATAGAAAAATTACCTCATAGCTGAAGTTGATATAACCAGGGTGCCCAGGATGAGGTGGTAGCTTTTATAGGAAGGAGTGAAAAAGAATAACAAGAGAGATGGAGAGAGAAAAAGAAAGGGAAAGAAAAAATGGGGAGAGAGAAAGAACGAGATTAAGTCAATATGCAGTTGTTCACATAATAGGAAGCTAAAGCTATTTTTAAGAAATCTAAAAGTAGGAATATATTTGAGAACTACTTTTAATTTAAATAGCCATGCTCTATAGCAAGGGCCTTCTTATTTTAAAAGGGGTCCCAAGCAGCTAAATAACTCTCCCAGAGCTAATAGTATCATGGTGGAAGACCTGGAAGTAGAAGCCGGCATACATTATTTTTCCAGTGACACTTGGGACAAGTCCATCCACCCCATGTTGTGCCACTGACCAGTTTACTAGTTGAAACTCACTACATGTTAGGGAAGAAACTATGTTTCTATTGCACAATTTTTAAAAGTCCACAGATAAAGAATTTTCTCACTAAAAGGCCTTTATGGATCAGCTGATTAAGTGCCTTATGTATCAAAGGAATTCCTCATAATTAGCAGGCAAATAAAATAACACATCTGTACTAACAAAAGGAGCAACTAGATGGGAATTACTGATGAATTTGGGAACAAGAAGGGTGAGGTAAAATGAAAACATTCTAAATTCCTCCTCTGAGCAAAGAGCAAATTTATGGAGTTTAGACTGATCCTTTTTATTATTCTGTCCATGTATTGATGGAAGAATTTTAAAAATTCAAAAACAAAAAGGAACTTGAATAATTATCTAAACCAGGACTGTCTATCTTTCCCCAAGTGGGAGCCAAGTGACTGCTGCCTGCCTTGTGTAATTCCGAATGGGCCTGGAGGACAGGAGAGACAAGATGGCAGCACATAGGAAGTTCTCCCTCAGCCATGAGGTGAATTAAGAGCTGACCCTGTTCTAGTCTTTAAAAGTGCTCATATTTCATAAGAGAATTTTTTCACGCTCATCTGAGTGTGGGAATTTCAGGACATAAGCCTTCTGAGATTGGGGATATTGAATTGTGGAGAGGAAAAGGGCTGAAATTGTAATGTAGGGATTCCTCAAGGGACCAGGAACTTGCGGCAATTCAGGGTTTCAGGAAGGCATTACACAGAATCTTGGTCTTATAGGTGACAGAGAAAGAAAGGAGGAAGGTATGTGAGCTTACTGGTTTCTGGTTGTATCAACTGATCTGTATGCTACCCAAAAGCATTGTATCACCGAAGTTCTCTGCCCTCGTGTAACTCTACCTACAGAGTGGGTCAGAATTCCTGGTCTTCGGTGTATTTAAATGTGAAGTATGTCAAGGTGTTCTGATCACAGGCAGGATTATAGGATACTACACAAAAGCCAGACTGGCCACATAGCAGATGCACCCAAAGTGATGGGACCCCTGAGAATGGAGAGATAGTTCAAGAAGAGAATTCCTAACAGAAATATTACCCACTGCAGGGTAATAGCAGCGGTATTTGAAAGGCACAGAGAGATTTGAAAACTTGGAAGTAACTGGGGTTTTGCAGGATTTGCCTATGGGTGATTAGGTACTTTCTCTGGAAAGCTTTCAGGTGTTCCTTCAAAGGATTATTCTATACAGAGATAGGCAGTGGTATTTACAGGCAACTTCTTTCAGTAGGATCTCGAGGGGAGACTTATTAAACTGCAGAGTTCTGGACCTCACCTTAGGTATAGTGAATCAGAATCTTTGCTAGAGGTAGGCAAGAATCCATTTCTTAAAAATCCACTTTTTAAGGGTATCTTCAATACAGAGATATCTGAGGACTTCTGAACTTGTATTGTTTTAAAGTCTGAAGTTTATCAACCACAGAGTAGATTTTCATTTTCAATCTTATGAAGTTAGACAGCTTTATGCAAGGGATAGTTTACTCACAGGCATAGCGAAGGCTGCTCCCAAGAGGCAGGCAAACAAAATCCAGGTCCCCATTTCTGGTGGTTCTGAAATGCAAATCAACACCTACTTTTCTTATGTCTTCTCAAGCATGGACATAATTAATGTTTCATCAAATTTACATACTGTACATTTTTGTGTTACTAATAAAAGGTTAGGACAACTCTTTGTGAGGTGACTTCACTCATATGTGATTTCTCAGTCTATATAATTGTTTCTAGAATCAGAATAGTGATAAAGATGCTGTGACATTAGCTTGAGAGCTTAGCAAGCTGTAGGGCCATGAATGGTCCATCATTACATTATTGTCTTTACCGTACAGCCAGCAGCAGCAGAAGAGCTAGTGGCATTTATGCTGATTGAAAGAGTGGAGTTGACTCTAAAAGACTCATCAAAGTGTACAATATTTTACACTTTTAAAACAAGACACAGAAATCCATTTTGTACAATGCACTTGGGATTTACCATCATTAAAACAAAGACTTATTTGAGAAAAAATACTAAGCAAGTCGATGAGATATAGTAAACAGAGTGGAGTCTTCTTCCCGATATTCCTATCCATAGCAAAAGGTAAGGTTGGACAGTGGGCAAAGAAAGTGGGCAGTGATAGTATTCTATGATTCTTTAATGAATTTAGAATGATTTCTACCTAAAATATTCCACCTTCAGTTAATAGTAAACTTATTTGACTTGGCAGTGCACTGCAACTGTCCTACAATTAAGGCCCTGAGGACATGAAGAAAAAGAGGCCATCCTAAAGTATACATAATTTTCTCCCATAGATCGCTGACTGACTTGGAAAGCTATCAGAAGAAAAAAAAAACTTTAATTTTACATGAGAAGTAAAAGTCACATTAATAATGCTGACTACAAAAAGTACACTGAAGCTTTCTACCTCCTAAGTCGGTTTTGCTGAAAGGTTAATAAGAAAACACATTTTGTCGATAGTTTCATTTGATTTAATTAATAAAATGTTTTTAAAGAAATGAATCACAGCTTATCAAGTATTATTTTATCGTAATTGATAAGCAGTTAAAATAAATATTTTGTCATGAAATCTGGATCCAAACAGAGCTTTCCAATTCTTCCACTAATTTTCTAAAAAGAAAATACAAACACTTTACTGCATTAACAGTAAAACAATTCATTAAAGAATTCAGAGTCTAATTCAATTGTGGTCCCAATGAAAAAGTAACTGCTAATGTCATAAATCACTGGAAATATGGAATATATTTGCATATTTTAAACAAGATATCAGAGAAAGAAACAAGCATAGTAAAAAATGATACTAAATTATGAATAAAGTTCACATACCTTTGCAGGTTTTCTAAGTTTCTATCTGAAACTCAGGGATGCTTGATCCTGTAGCTTCCTTCCAACAAGGAGCCCAATATATATGATTCACGGCATCTAGAACAACCAATCAGGTTTCAGAAGAGAAAATGTGTTGAGTATAGCTAAAAATCCCTGCATCATGAAGTTTAGAAGCTGTGATCAACCTTTAAGCTGTATGTAGTGATTAGTGCATATAGACTCTTTCATTATGTGCAATAATAGGTTTAGGAGGCAAAAAGTTTCACCTGGCTGTTTGAGAGTCAGCAAATTATTTCACAGCACATGCTGATATATACAACTTTATTTTTAAAAGCTGCTGTGCCATTGTTTTGTTTCTCAGTTCTAGCAAACAACATTGCTCTTTCCAAAAACTAACGCGTATGGTTGAGCTCCTCCTGCGTTATCACAGCGGCCACTAGGGTTCTCCAGCCATTTTCAGAGTAGGATACATTGATTCAAATTCCCATGCTGATGAGAAAACCAGAAGCATGGCTGACAGATCGTGATTTCATCTGTACCTCTCCTCGGCCTCACCTTTCACTATTTGCTGTGGCTGCTCCTTTATCACCATCTGACATCCACCAAAAAGGGAGACAAGGTTCCTTCTTCTTGACCCCATGCAGAAATCCATCTGCCATGCAAGAAACTATGAACTCAAGTTTATTCCAGTAGCCAAATTTTACTGACCATCTGAAGGACAGGGCAATGTATATGTCACACGTCAAGTAGCACACTAAAAATGTATACCGATCCTCAGGAACACGTATCACAGGGAATATTACCATGGCACCGCTGTCCCACGCAGCAACTTGGCCTCTTTCAAGATGGTGATCTTTTGGGGCCCACACCAATTCTCCCTTTCTATACAGGCCAACACAAATCCCCCTTTCATTTTCAGAGTCTATCAGCTATCTTTTCAACTACATTTTCTTCATGCTTTTAGCATCCTTTGTTAAATTAATGTTTTACCTATTTACCTTAGTAAAACATATGGATTTTCCTCTATCCTAGAATAAGATTAGTTGAAAAGCAAACTTGTATCTAATGACAGGAAGTAGCTAATAAAGTGTCTATTAATATTAAACCTCCATATGAGATTATATATATATATATATATATATATATATATATATTCCGATACAACTTGTGTTATAGCTGCATCTGTTTAATACTTAAGGCCTATTGATAATATGACATAAGTATCCATGGAAGCGATGTAGCAATTGTGAAGATATAGAACTAAGACTACATGTGTCCTGACTCTAGCTTCACCACAGAATAAAAAGACTTTGATAACTTGCTTAGCTAGTCTGAGCCTCAGTTTCTTGATCTGTAAAATTCAGATCACAATAGAATTTACCTGGGAGGATTAATGTGAAATATAAATGAGAAATGTCTCTGGGGAAATTGAGAGATATCCCCCCATCACCTGGCAAATAGCAAATGTTTGAAGAATGCCAATAAATAGGATCTAAGTTGGTCTTTGAGGATGGATTTTCAGGGGTGAATACTAATTGTGAAGAAAGGCAGACTTTTCAATCAGGAAAGAGTATACAGTGAAGAAATCAGGAGACTCTAACAGGCAAAAATCTATGCATGAAATTGAACATAGGATGTGGTTTTCTAATAAGAAAATATCCCTATGAATGTATTTATTTGTGAATCATATGCCAAAGATAAAAGGGATTTTTTTCTGAAGGAAGTTACAAAACAAAGTTTAGGAGAATTAACAGAGGTTTACAACAAGGTAATAAAGGAGAATAAAAAGCAGCAAAAGGAATATGTATATCACACTATACACGTTCAACCTTTCCCTTTTTATTTAATCACATACATTGGAGTGCCTGAAGAGATTAAAGACATAATTTTCTTTTACAAAATTTTGGGCAATGTCTATAAATGAAGTCATTGATTAATTGCTTATGGTCTTGTACTTTTATGAAACTTATCTCATTACTTTTTCTCACCTTTCAAGAACGAGAGGGCACTAGATTTGGTCACAGGGCTCAACAAGATGTTTCCTTATTACAACTTTAATCCCTGTGATCTCCCAGTTAGATCGTTACCACAGTGTTTGAGTTCTTTTGCCAGTTTTTAGTAGTTATTATTTTTATAACTTGAAGTTCATCAGATTTTGGTGTTCCTGGGATGCTTATGCTAGCAACTTCTCTTTTTAATTTGGTGCTTCTAATTTACCGTGTGCTGGAAAACCATATGTCCAAGCCTGTCTATTATTAGAAAAGCAATGCTCTAAACCGTTAAGGCCTGCTCACTGGGGCCCCCTGTGAGAAATGCACAGGAATTTCAGCTTTGGGGCACTAGATTTTAACTGCTGCTTTGTTTTGGGGTTGTTCCTTCCCCTAGCTTACTTTCTGGATCTCAGCACATTCAGAGGAGAAAGGTGGTGTTTGGAGAAGTCAGACAATTTGAGTTCTGCTAGCCTTTCTTCTAGTTCATCTTTTGAGTCTATATTGAAGTAAGTTCACAATTATCCAATATTCTCGAATAACTTCAGAAGTAGTGTTCTTAAATAAATGGAGCCAAAGTTGGCTTTTAAATGTTTGTTCTGTTGACATTTACTTACAAGAAAAATATCATATTCTACTACGGTTTTTGTTAAGACAAAATTGGAGTGTGCTGTCTTCTGCACTTAGACACTTTATTAGTAATCAATTCCAATAAAAAGTCAGACTCTGACCATATTTCAATTCTTGGAAGTCAGGAACTGTATCTTATACTTGCTTAGTATCTGAGTGTCTGAAAGAATCTCTTAGGTAAAGCAAGTGCTCGACTTTTAATTGATGAAAATGTGGAAAAGTTACCCATGACATAATGAAAATCAGAAAATATTCTCAGTTGATATGGATTCTGCAAAGACGGAGGAATCCTGCAGTGATTGAGATAGACCATTTAAATAGCTAAGATGGATAGCAAAGGTTCCCGTTATCTAAATTTTTTTCTCCTTTCCTTTTCTCTCCATTTAGTCAGACATTAACCAAAACATCAATTATAGCATCTAAAAACTCATTCCTAATAGTCTCTGTGTAGCCAATATTTAATTTAATTTAATTTTTAAACAAAATCTGTCAATGCAATAAATTCAGGAGAAATAGAAAAAGTTTGAGGCATGGTTATTTCTCATTTGTGTTCAGTGAAAGTGATTAATAAGTGATGGTGCTTTATCTTCCATAAACCCAGATTTTATTTAATGTTCACTCCCAGGGAGACTAAAAGTTGAAAATAAAATCTAAAACCATAAAGTCACAATGTTTTTTAAGTGAGAAAGTTCTTTTAGAACACAAGTAGATAACATCTTAATAACATAAGCATTCATAGAAAGAATTCATGTAACTTGCAATTTTAAAGGTCTGTAGGCATTTGTTAAATATCTGGTAGAGCAACTTTCAATAAAGGAAATTATATGCAGATGGATAGAGTGTTGTTTAGGTTATAATTAACTGGTAACTGTCGGGAGTGAAAATGTTACATCTATGTTAACAGAGATAACACTGTAATGTAAAAACAAGCATTGTAATTTGTGTTTATTGGACAAAATGCAACAAAGTAAATTGTACTTTCCCACCTGAGTCTAAGAGACACACAGATGAGTAGTTTCTAAATAAAGGCAATATGCTGCGGTGCAGAGAATGTGGTCTTTGGTAGAAGATAGGCTAGGTAAATCTTGTGGTTAGGCCTCTGACCCATGATGCGTGGCCTTAGCCTGTGTGCTTGACCCTTTTGTGAACTTGCCATAATCCCAGAAAAATGGAAAAGCATCAGTAAGGTGTGGCACTAATGTTATTCAGTATGTGTTTTTGCTCTTCAATGTAATGATGTCCAGTATTTCAATTTTAGTAATTGGTGTGGGAAGGCAGAAATCTCAAGGAAACGAAGAAAATAGGTCACCAGCCAAAATGCTGTAAATATTTCTTTCATGTATATGATATGTAGGTTTTCTTCTATTATTGTTGGGTAGAAAAAATGCTACATTGCTGTACACTTTAGCAACATAACTTTCATCTAGCCTTTTGAAGAAAATGTCAGAATACCATTTTCATATGCTGTGAAATTCTACAGGGGAAAGAAACCATGTAGAACTTCAATGCCAGCAATATCCACAGCTCCAGTTTTCTTGCCATCCCTGGCCCCCTTTGCAACTGTAGTTTCTCCTAATGGCCCTTCTAACATGGACAGATTCCCACGTGGTTTGCCAAGTGGTATTTTCTTCCTGACTTGCTTTTAAACTGTATAACATTTAGGAATAACAGGTAAGAATAATTTCCAAACCTATGTTTGAAAAATCACATTGTGAATGTCGGCTTGGAATTTTGATGAAGTCTGAAACTGACATAATTCTAAGAAATGAAATAAACCAGAATTAAAGCAAGAGATTAATTTAGTTCAACCCATTTTATTATAAGGAATTTTTGTTTGAAATTAACTAATGTTTATTTAGAAACTCTGTTCAGAATAATAAATTTTCAATTTCAAAAGCTTGCTTGGTATATTATCTTCATCTTTTTTGCACTTAGCACAATGGTAGTTATCCTTTAAGTGTATTTTAGTAGCATTCCATAAATTTCCACAATGTTTAATTCAGTAGAATGAAATACTTTTTGAATATCTGAAATATGCAAAGCATAGGGCACATATAAATAAATAACATCATATCCATACAATGGAATATTACCCATACAATAAAGTATTAACACATCCTCTAACTTGGAAAAATCTGAAAACGTTTCCGTAAATAAAAGAAGCCAGACTTAAAATATCATATAATTTATGATTCAATGCATAAGAAATGCTCATAATAGCAAATCTACGGGCATAAAATGTAGACTTACTGTTCTCATGGACTGAGGAAGGGGGGACTAGGAAATGACTGTTAATAGGCATGAGGTTTCTTTTGGGGATGGTGATGGAAATATTATGGAAATTACAAGTTATGTTTAAACAACCTAGAGAATACACTAAAACTATTAAATTGTATGTTTTAAATTTGCAAAATTTATGGTTTGTGAGTTA